TTTATTCACATGGATATGGAGTGACATAATCCATATCACATCGGTGAAATAATGGTATTATATACTTGCAAGCTTGGATTAATACCCAAATAGAATTTACCAGATTCCTTTTTAACTTTTCGCATAATGAAAGCTCATTTTGTGCGTTGATGACTGTGTTGATTTATCGGCATCCACCAAAAATTCCCTTCAAGCTCCCCTAGAGAGTTAGATGATTTCCAGTTGCAAATCTTCACTGAGTTTAGTAGCCAACTGTCTCAAATAGTGTTATATGCAACAGTATCTCGTTTCTTTTTTTGTCTTAACTCAAGCGGAAAAGTGAAAGTATTCTGTCTCAACAGGCTCCATCATGCACTCACCCCTACCCTTTACGAGAAGAGGTTTCGAACTGTAGGCGTATATCTTTGAAGCAAATCACTGAAATTCTTACCTTTGGTTTTTCTGGGTACGAGTCCCGTCAAACGGATGTTAGTCGTAGGATGCCTCATGATGGTTTCGTTGCTCGATTTGAAGTTCAAGGAATACTGAACCTGGAAAAATAAGGTTTTTCGTGTCATACCACCAACAGTTGCTGAACACTTTGCGAGGACGAGTTACTAAAAGCTACTAAAACACAACAAATTAATTCTCGGCTGAAGGGGAACGAACTAAATATAGTGAATTTCATCTAGTACATAAGAGACTGAGAGCATAATCGTAACTTTAAGGGGCTACCTACCTGTTAAGACGGAAACTTAATTTCTTTTATAGTAACGTATATATAGAAATTGGAAATTTGCAGCCATTCTCCGTACAAACATAGAACTAATTCGCCAACCCGAGCTTTTTTCCTGCCGTAAACTTCTGCCTAACTACATTTTAAGAGTCTTGCCTTTCCTTAGAACTTTTACTTACCAATTCAGAGACCAACGAATTTTATCATCGCCATGGAAAATTTCCAGAAACATTTTGATACAGGTCGTCAAATTTTACAATCACTGATCTCATTTTTAACCGATAATTGCTTAACAGTGTCACCAATCTCATTATTTCGTTGATTTACGATTTCAGTTGTTCTCGTCCCGTTATGGTTGGCTGGGCGTGGGAAAATTTTCATTTCTTGAGTTATTTTTGCCTGTCAGATAAGGGGTCAAAAAAAAACGTAAAAAAAAAAGGATTGTGATAAACTTTCACGACTGGGACGAAATAAATACAAAGCTTCTTCTATGCCTCGTTTGCTTTTCTTTGTAATCAAAACGTGTCGAGTTCCATATGGAAACAATTTTTACGTGAGATCATTTCCCTTTTAATTGCGATTCATTTTATTTTTCATTAATGCAAGAAGCTACAGTTGTCCAGGTCTCTCGAATTTTAGTTTACATCACTTCTTTTATGATGAATTTAGGAAAATTCCAGTTTATATAGTCTCCTTAAGCGTAAACTTTATCTTAACTGAATAAAGCAATTTGAATGATTACCGTAAGAGATACAGAAATTGAAGTACGAGGGAAGATAGTTTTGTTTCTTCGGTATCCACAATCTTTCTCAGTTCTATCCACTCAGGCGTAAAAGTGAAAGTGTTGTGCTTTTTTACCTTTTTAGTGCCATTGAACCGAAATTTGAGGTCTTTGATTCTGTGGTCAATTGGAGGAATCATGCCTGACAATATCGGTGTCTTCAGCACGGGGGCCACAATACCATCTCGGACGAGGTACAAGTTTGTTTTTAAATCTAATGGCATAGAAAGTAAACATTAGACTCTCTAAGTACCAGAGTTATCTTTTCATGGAAATTAGTTCATGCCGGCTTTAAGGCTTTACAATCGCAATTAAAGAAATTTGAAGAAATCGTCGACTGAGAAGGGTACTGTTTTAAGAAGGAAATGAATAGTGATGCGTTTCTCAACTGACGGAAATAAATAAGGTGAAATTTTTAAATCGAATTCTAAATATTATGTGTCATGCCTTTCATTTAAAATGATATGACAAAATCAATGACAGGATTTCGTGCCTGACACCGC